TCAAGATGATGTCACCTTGCTATAAACAGAAATACTAGACATCAAGTGTCAAGCAGAGAATGTCTATAGAGACAAGACCGAATGGAATGCCTCTGAGGAAGGGCAGCTATACTAGCCATGCAGCCGACTTACTCATCTGCTCATATAGTCATTCATCAAACCCAGGACCACAAATCCTGCATCTCACGCTGAGAACACAGACATCATCTCTACCCTTTACGAACTTGCCCCTTTGGGATAGGATGGCAAAGAGAACAGACATACATTTATCGTGCTCCTTTTGTATACAGTCACTAGGTTATGTAGCCCACACTTCTTTTTAAATTTTTCTGAAAACAGCTGAATATGTAATTCTTGTCACAAAAGTACTGCTGGGTACATGGGTCCAGGGGCCTCAGAGAACTTAACTCAAAGCTGATTCGGCTCAGCCCTAATAAACTAGTGTCTAGACACAGGGTTCACCGGCCCTAAAATTTAAGGAGGAGTCTCTGTATTGGTGGGAGACACCGGAATATTGGCAGTAGGTGGATTGGGCTTGGAGTGCTCCCTAAAAAGTATTTGTAAGAGTTTGCCTCGGTTTCACTCAGTTTGCCATGGAGCCCACTCCCCTCTGTGCTTTCTACAACAGGAAAACCCCAGCTTTCTCCTTAGCTTCATTGTTGGAGGTGTTAAGTCAGCAGGTACCATGAGGTGCCTGCTGAGGGGACCAGGAATTGGAAGGCCCAGCATGGAGCATGGCATTCTGGGATGCTGAAGCTTCTGAACCATGGAGAAGTATTGTTTCTTGGGTGCAGGTGCACTTCCCTGCTTTCTGCTGCAGGTTCCGATTGACCTCTGTAATCAAAGGGAATTCCGTGGGCTTTTGGAAGGAGCCCCATGTCTAGGTTACAAGGATAAACGGAGAAATTCATCCTATCATCCCCTAAGCATGAATACTCCACACCTAATTAAATGGGGGTAAAATCGCCAGCACTCTCTATGTGATATTTATCGAAAATGATTTGCTTCAGACAGCCCAGATCCTTCTCCTTAGGGACGCGTGGAGAGCTGAGCAAGACCAACTGGGGCCCTTGAGGTGCAGAAACGAATCGGACTGGCAAGCCGAGAGCCCCGGGGCCTGGAGTTGGCAGTGGCAGTGGATGGACATCTGTTGTTTTTGTCATTCAACGACGCCATCTTTTCCCTATGGGAGCCACTTCTCTTCTGCTCCAACCCTGCTGTGGGAACGGGCCTGTCAATCATGAGTTCCTATCCAATCCTCAGGCCACCGAGGTGGGCATGTGAGCCAGCCTTACCCAATCACAGTTCTTGATTGCCTGACCTCAAAACATCTGAGTTTCCTGAGTCACATGCGTCTCCTTTTGGCAATAAGAACCAGGGGTGGTGGTGTCCTTTGTAGAGGAGTTTGAAGGGTAAGGAAGCAGCAACTTCGGTGCTCTTCTTTTTCAGCAGTCTGTCTGAAAGGGACCAGTCAGGAGCCAGAGTCAACAGTCGTGGAGAAAGGGGCCTGAGAGGGCTGAACCCCTGTCACCCTTTCTGAGTCTTCCCATGGCTGCCTTGGCCTTGAACTTCAGAACTTAATCCTGCTATCTTCCACAGGCTTAAGATTCAATCGGTCATTTATGGATTAAACCTCCTCGTGGGTCCAGTGACGGCTCGGTGGCTAAAAGCTTGGACGCGAGTCCTAGTTTGCTTTCTAGGTCTGTGATAAGCACCGTGACCAAAATCGACTTGGGAAGGGAGGGTTTATTACGGCTACAGGCCACAGCCCATCGTGGAAGGCAGTGAGGGAAGGAGCTGGAGCAGAGACCACGGAGGAATTCTGCTCCCTGGCTTGCTCCCTCTGGCGTGCAGAGTTTTCTTATACAACCCAGTCCCGCATGCCTAGAGATGGTACCGCCCACAGAGGGCTGGACCCTCCTACACCAATACACAAAATCAAGACAGTGCCCTCACCATGAGCCCACAAGCGAGTTTGGTGGAGGCAATACCTCCGTTGATGGTAACTCTTCTCAGGTTTGTCAAGTTGAGAAATGAAGTTACTTATGACACGTCGCAAGCCTGACTACTGAGTCTGTTCCCTTCGGCCGATGTAAAAAAGCCAGATGCATTCACACTTCTGTGAATAATCCTTAATCCGTACTCCAAGAGACCCCTCATCCATGCTTCTCTAAGCAGACCCCCCCTCATGATCCCATCAGCATCCCGAGTGAACTCACTGATTTACCAAACTGGATTTGGATGGACTCACTCCTTTGGTTTGTTACTGCCTTCTCTGAGGCGAATAGACACAGGCAGAGGCACAAGAGATATGGGGTCCTCAGGGAAAGTCAGGCTCTACAGGATGTAGGGATCCTTCCCCCAGAAGGGTGGGTTTCAAAGCCGGATCACCTGCTTGATGCCTGGGAACAAGAGTTGGCTGGTGGCTTCTGGGCTCACTGCTAAGACAGAACTTTCTGCTCCAATTCCAGCTGGGGCTTTCCTCCAAGTCTTTGATGTTTGTCTCTCTTCCATGCCGGGGCTTTAATATGCACAAACTTGTATTTAAGAAATGTTTCTAGTAAATAACTCTCCACTTCTGCTCATGCAAGCAACCGTCATTAAACCGAGCAGGTCCCTGAGAAGGGACATCGGCGTGGGAGGACTAGCTGGGAGAAGAAAGAGGGATAGAGGGAACAATGGGGATGGTGGAAAGGACCAAAGTTCGCAGCATACATGTGTGAATAAAAAACCCTGTCAAAGAACAAAGCAACCAAAGAAAGAAAAAGAGGCTCGCAGCTACGGGTGTGATGGATTTCAAACAATTTAAAAGCCCTGCTAGTCTCTAAGCTATGGGAGGAATTGGCATATTTACTTGGCATATTTACTGCATTCCTGCATTTGAAGGAACCTTTGCTCAAATAAAGGAGGTAAGGAAAAAAAATTCCAAGCAGCCTTTCAATGCTGTGTACCAAGAAGCCTCATTATGAGAGGTGAAAATGAAGGTTTACTTTCTATTAACCCATGTTTTGACAAGTATCATCAATCAAATGATGCTTGTCAACATAGTATTTTGGACAAATGACCTCATGTCTGTGGTATTAATTAAGAAAAATGGGTTCACTTGCTTGTTCATTCATGAAATTGTCACAGAGTGTCTGTTTTCTGGACCCCCTGTGCCTTCTACCAGAAACAGTAGAATAAAGCGGCGGAGGCACCTGTGGCCCCTACTCTTACAGAGATGTTGGGACTTTGTTCTTTCTTTGCTACCAAACCTATTTCTGAGGCGTTAGCTCTGGATGAAGGAAGGAGACGCTGGCAGCAAGAGCAAGCGGAAAAATGCTTGGCAAATGTGTGCCAGGTCCACTCATCTTTGCCAGCGTGGAGCTGCCCACCCTCTTTCTCAGGTCCAGCTCGGGAAACTGACACTTGTGCAGCTCTCTCTGTTTGCCCTCTGCTTGTCTAATGAGAAAATTGCTGGCTTCTTTTGTTCCTGCCGCTAATACTCGGCTCTCATGCTATTATTTGCCTATAAAGACTATGAAGACTGAGTCACAGGGATCTTCATAATGTATCCAGCTAGGCACTCCCAGACTTGGCCATGGCTTTCAGAAACTTCACATGAGCATCGTACAAATGGAGGAACTTATCCCTATGGCTTGTCTGGATATGATTATGAGTTGCTGCTTCAGGAATCTTGCTTTTCTCTCTCTCTCTGCAGCAGCTTTGCCTATGGATTGAAGAAGCTATGGACTCATACATCTCTATCTATCTATCTATCTATCTATCTATCTATCTATCTATCATCTATCTATCTATCTATCTATCTATCTATCTATCTATCTATCTATCTATCATCTATCTATCTATCCATCTACCTATCTATCGTAACTATCTATCTATCTGGAACAGCATAATTTTTAGTTCTGGATGGATTCAAGGTAAGGTTAACTGCCACCACAGTAAATACATTTTCAGTAGCATTAAAATGTTTCTGGGGCAGATGGGAGCCAAGATGGATTGATCCCTGGAACTCCTTGGCCAACCATCCAGGCTGAATCAAGAGACTCTAGGTTCACTGAGAGACCCTACCTCAAAAAATGTGGAAAGCCATTGAGCAAGATACCCAATGTCAATCTCTGGCCTATGCATATCTGGTGCAGGACAATTCTGTCCCCAGTCAACACATACCTGTTTGTATACCCACAAGAACATGTACGTACACCCTCTGCTCCCATTCCTACAGGTTTCTTTTCATGTCACTGTCAAAAGGGGTGACTTAGGTCAGGTGAAATTTCATGCCTATCCAAGGTCCTGGGCTCCTCCTGTGCAGTGGCTCTGCCCTCCTTAGTGTTGCCATGGTGTCTCCCCAGAAGGCAGTAGAGTATGGCAAGCCAGTGACTGCACCGCATCAAGATTCAAAGCATCTGAGTTGATTAGGGATAGAGGGAGAGAGAAGAGACTCAGTGGGAGGCTTGATGAGACAGGGCTAGACCTGTCCTAGGCCCATCTCACCAGCTTCCCATTGACCCAAAGTTGTCCGTGTGGTCACAGGGAAGGGTAAGGCAGTCTGGAGGATGTGGACCCGGTGTGTGCTGACGAGGGCATCAGGTTGCTCTAAGTCTATCTAGGGCCTAAATTCTAGGTGGATACCAAAACTGCTATTTTACAGACAGCTTCTTATCCCTATTCTCTGCAAGTAAGTGTTTAACATTATATTCTTTTGCTCCAGGCAGAGGAAGCACTTCCAGGAAGGTGCTGTAATTATCCACCAGGGAGATGACAGCGGCCTTGAAGGGGAGGTGTGTCTTCAGGCCCAAGCTCACGTCTATGGTCTCAGCATCCTTCCAGCCGGTGTCAACTTCAAGAGTACCCCAGCTGAGATAGCAAATTATATAATACCAGCATCCACGGCGCAGGGCATGGGAGAGAATGCAAGGTTGTGTGAGGGTGCCGAGATGGCTGAAAAGTAACCACCAAATGAGATTCCATAGAGACTTTTTTTTATTTTAAAATTCTGCTTCTGAAAACACAGTATGGCAGAAAGCGTCTATGTACACCTGTGGTGTTTTTGGTATAATACAGTATTTAATAATCCACTGTTTTCTGCAAAAAAAAAAATAATGTTGCTTTGTTGGACTGAAACAAATTCCCCTAGACAGAAATACAGCTAAGGCACAATTTTGTTGTTGTTGTTTTTGACTAAATGAAAACACAGGAAAGAGGCAGATATGGGCGGATAACACGGTTGTGAGGACTGAACTTCACCATGATGAGAAGAAGTATTCAGATGATTAGAACTTTGATTATTGGTCAACTTCAGATAGTTTATTATTTCTTAAAATACTCCTTTAAATAAATAGCAAAATATCTACATCTTTCAGCGTGTGCCGTGTGAACTCTCTCTTATTTTTAAACTTTTATTTACAGATTCTCTTTTTTAAAATCAATACATTACAAAATATTTCTGTACAGTTTTATGCATATTATGATCTATAACAAAATAGTTATTTTTAAAAACTATATCACCACATGTCTTTGAAAACAAAGGAGGCAGTAACAATGTATCTTGAGGCCTCTCAAACAAACATTGGGACAAATGCTACCAACAACGTAAGAGTCTCGTCTTTTCCTTTGAAAGAAAAAAATAAATGGATAAGACCATTGCGCTCAATACCAGTGAATTTCCTATGAAAACCCTGGGGTTGTCTTTGGCCTCCATCAGCACTGGAGTGATGGAAGGGTTCAGGGCAGAGTCTGAAGGAGGGGGTGGACCATCCCTTCAAGAACGTGACCCATCCACTGGGAATAAGTAATGCTGTCACTTTCCAGGTAAGAAGGATGAAGAGATAAACTGAGAAATGTTCCTGATTTATCCTTGAATGAAGTACCTAAAGTCACTGGGTCTTGGGGGAGGGGGAGACTAGAAAGCTGTAGAGAGCATCCTGCTGGTGATGCCAGCCCACTGCCAGGGCAACATGTTTCAGAGAGTGCTTCAGAGCTGCAAGAGCACTCAAGACTTCATTTCACCCATTGGAAAGAGATGGGAGCATTTTTCTTAAAGACGACATTTAAGCTATGCACAGAGCATCTGCAGCTACAGCTCGGCAGTCCCTTTGCTCGGGAGGCCGCCACACACATGCGGGCTTCAAGATGCTCTCTCTTCTGTGATGGCGGGGGAAACTAGAGGGGGAGGATGTCAGCTTTCCAAAAATAATTTTAAGGCCACATTTCAAAAAGGAGAAACCTAAGGCTTTTTGGAGGAGTGGGGATGGAGGTGGGAGGTAGGAGAAAAATGCAGGAAGGAGAAGATGGCACTGGAAGGGGTGGGGAGGGGAGATGCAGGGCCTGCTTCCTAGTGATGTCTGCAGACCTAGGCGGTGAGAACATTCCCAGCCAAGTGAGGGGAGAAGAGAGGCCACTTTCTCCCTGTGTGGGACTTGGCAAGAACAGAACCAAAGACAACAGGAGGAGTAGACACACAGGGGGTGGGTAAAAGCCCTCAGTCGGAAGAGGGTGCTGTAGAATAGCTTGTGTATAAGGTAAACAAACAAACAAACACCCAACCAAAACTTATACAAGAAAGGAGGAAAAAGAGGAGGAGAAGGAAACAGACAGGGAGAGAGAGGAAAGGAGAAGGAGGAGAAAGAGAGAGAGAGAGAGAGAGAGAGAGAGAGAGAGAGAGAGAGAGAGAGAGAGAGATTTGCATAGATTTTACATTCAGCTCCAGCGCAGCCAGCCACCTTCATTCCACCCCACCCCCAGGTAAACTTCTCAGCAGACATTGAGGTAGTGCCTGGGGTTGACCCTCGGGCAAAATAAGGTAACTGAGGCAGAAGCAAAGACAACTACTTGTGAGCCAGCACAGCCCCACACGGTTTCCTAAGAACCTTCCAGAACAGTGGCATCATGGCAACTCCGATGTGGGCTGTGGAGCTGGTCCCGGTGCTCCCCAGCCCCCCAGCCTCGTCTCTCATCATCTCCTGGCAGTGCTGCCATCCTCACTTGGTTACAGGGAATGCCGGAAGGTGGAGCCCTGGGCAGACTAGAGCCTCTCTGTTTCTGAGGCCGCACCCCAGACCCCAGACTGTAGTCTCCCTTCTTCAGCACAGCTCAGAGGAGTCCCATGAGCCAGCCCTCTGGCAGAAGCCAGGCTTTCTGAGAAGGGGATGACTGAGCAGAAACCTCCATCCCTCCACAGTCCTGGCTCTCTCCCTCCCTCCCTCCCACCGATGACTTTTCCAGAAAGAGAACTTGGCCTGAGCACAATTCTGGAACTTTTCTGCTCACATCCTTTAAAAAAACTAAATAAACCAGGACAGACCAGGGCTACACAGAGAAACCCTGTCTCAAAAAACCCAGACAAACAAAAAATAAGTAAAATTAGAAAATGAGAGAAAAAGTAACCAATAATGAAAAACCAGATTTCCTATTAAAACAAACAAAAGAGTGTCCAGCAGGAACTCAAGGCTGGTTTCCCTCTGCAGAGCTGCACCTTCTTCTTTGACAGGCTGGGAGCTCAGAGCTGCCCTTCCTACAGGAGGCTCACGTGCAGGCCAGTAAGACAACGATTTCCACACTCCCTTTTGTCTTTCAGCCATGGTTTCACCCACCTCTACTTGTGTCCTGGATCTCATTATGCTTTTATGACCCCTACAGTAGAGCTTCTCTGGCCTGCCAGGCCTTCTCTGCATGCTCAAACTGACCGACTGGGGTGCCTCTAGTTTCCAGTCTATCCTCAATGCTGTCAGCAGCTGGTGATCTGAACCCTCATGAACTTGGCTGTAAATGTTGTCTTCTTCACGCTCCGCACTTTGAGGCTATTGATCGCTCTTCTCTGTTATGGAATGTCTTGGCAGAGAGGTCACACTTTCAGTCAATATCCTCTTCTCTGTCTGAAAACCAGGCAGCCAGAAGGAGGCATATCCCTCAAACACCCAGGCATACATCCAAAATAGCAACAAACCCCTTTGGAGTGTGTGTGCATGTGCATGCCTGAGTGTGAGTGTGCATGCCTGTGTGTGTGCGCGCATGTATTTGTGTGGCTATGTTTATATCTCCTAAACTCAATTTCAATTTGTATAGTTAAACCAACATTGAGAGATGTGGTTTCCTGATCTCCATTACAAAGGACCTTGGGCTGTATCGCAAGAGCAAGGGGGCATTGGGCATTGTCCCCTTCTTTGTGGGAGACTCTGGTTTCCTGCACAGCCCAGGAAGTAGGCTTTAGGAGGGGTAGTTACCAAATAGCATAGAGAGGTACTTCTCCCCATGAGGAATGCCCCACTTCCTTCTCAGCTGTCTAGACTGTCCAGGGCCTTGGTCAGCACTTGCGTCCAAGGCTTCTTGCTTCTGCAGAATGCAGACTTTAAGGTTCCCAGAGATGATGGTTCTGGGCTCTGAAAACCCTCAGGCAGCCACCTCCCAAGGCTGGTGTTTCACCTGTGGTTTTGGACAAACACACTGTTTTCAGCAGGAAAACATCAACAGCTAAGGAGTTAAGTCATTTTCCGTGGGAAAACATCGTTTCTTAAATAATGCTAAACTTGTTTTAAATTCTCCACTTTAAAAAAAAAACTAAAAGCAGTATCTGCGAAAATTATTCTCTGGGTGTAAAACAAAGGAAACAAATACCCCAAATTAGTTGTGGTGAGTGAGGAAGAAGCCCAGGGGATACAAAGTCAACTTTGTCATTTCCAACTAGTTCCAGTATGGAAAATGTCATTGAGAGCTACTGGGTCAGGATAGACCTTGTCTCGTAGTCTGAGGCTCCCAGGGACCTTCCAGGACAGAATACACAAATCTCTAGCAGAAGAGAGGTGGAGCGGGGAGACTCCCAGGGGTTCCACAGTCCCAGGTAAGCTTTGACGGGGGGGGGGGGGCAAAGACTGGAGGGGAGAGGATGGGGCACCAGGCTTATGGTTCCCGTGGGCTTGTAAAACCAGTGTAAATCCTATGGGTTTTAAAGAAAGCTACCTGATGGTTCTAGGACCAGCACAGACAGTAGCTACCTCCTGAGTTCTTCTGCTTGGTCTGACCGGCTCCTCCTCCTAAGATCAATCACTCTTGGAAGGAGTCTGTATTCCTCCACTAGTGATGGCTTGTTCTCACGGTTAAGCTGGTCTTGAGAAGCCTGATGTAGGGTAACTGGGTGGACCTAGAGTTTTACACTCAGCAGACTTCTCCCTCCCCAAGCCATAAGCCCATCACAACCTTGTCCCTGGGTCGGGGGTCAGGGTGAGGTGGCATACTCAGGCATTCCAACATTTTTGAATTTAGAGGGACAGAGGAGACCAGCATCCTATGTAAGCAAATGGGAGGTTCCAGCCATCCACACGAATCAACTTCCTGACATTGATGGTACTGTTGGAAACTATGCCATGGTGTCTAACACCCCTGCTTTGTTCTAAGAACCAGTAGGACTTAGGGTGGACACTGACAGAAACAGTGAGAATGAAGGGGAAAGGCAGGCAGACCAGGGAAGACAGGGAAAGGGGAGCCTTTTGTGAACAAAGGCAACTTTAGTTAGTAAGGTAACGTAATTGACAAGCTGCAAAAAACAGCACCTACTAATTAGTCATTGACTAAAACATATAAATAATAAATATCAAGGGTCCTTCCTCTATGGCCGCCATGTTGGATGGGGAAGGGGCTGTGCACTAGACGCATCATCAGGGTGGACTTCAGAACCTTCTTATCCTGATGGGAGAGATACCAGGATGGGTGCAACTTTTCCCAGAGCAATGTCTTTTAGGGGACTCAATGAGGAAGGGGGTGCGGTTCCTCAGTGCTCTCCCCAGAATACACATGGCAAGAAAACCCTTGGGTTTTCTGGTAACTCAAGCAATATGAATAACACTATGTTTTGAACCACCTTCCCTATTCTGAAACTCAACCTTCCTTTTATGTGGTGTGGCCAGACTGAGTCTGTTGGCACCCCAGGCAAGGAAGGGTATGAAATTAAGGACCAATCTGAAATGTTTGTTCCTGGTTGAGAGAAGTCTGATCCATGCAGTTTGGTCACAGCCAACAGCACCGAGTACACAGTTCACAAAGGTTTGGGGTACCTGACCTCAGAACGGAAGGGGTGGTTCTGTGCTGCCATCCAGCTTAGAAGTTGGGTCCAAGTAACCCCCCCCTTTTGAGATTCAGAGACTTGGTTCCCCACTGTCCCCCTTCCAAGTACCAAAGAGGACACAGTAGCTGCCTCCCAGCCCAAGGGCAGGGAGGGGAATTGAAACTCCAGCTCTATATATTTTACCCTGTTCCTGCTACCATTTGTGACAGCCTTGGAAGAGGTTGACGTGGACAGATGGCAGTCACATATCTGGTGAACCTTGGCCACTTCACATCAAAGGGCTTTCCTGCACTTCTGGTTTGCAGCAAAAAATAGCTCACTGAGCAGCAGCAGGAATCTTGGAATTCTCCCACATCTCCACCTCCCTGGGAAGGCAGGAACCAGCTTGCTACTTTTAGCATGGGCACGGGGTTTCCCAGCCACAGAAATCAAGAGATAAATGGGAGGGCCGGGGTGGAGATCCCACCCTTGGTCAGGGCAGTGCTCGTCTGTCAAACCAACTTCAACAAAGCCCTTGGGTTCGTGAGAGGTACCTTGGAGATGCCCTTGGGGAAAGGACTGCCTGGTGGGCTGAGCTTCCAGAAGGAACCTCACACAGCTCAGCTTCAGCCAGAGCAGCCTCAGTCGCTTCCTGGTCTTGCACTTCCACCTCTGACTGTGCTGAGTAAACAAAGCTCTGCAGCTCAAAATAAAAGCTTAAAACTCACTTGTAGGGAGACAGTGCAGGCCACAGGAGGGAGAGAACAGGAACCTGCAGGACTGAGAAGCAACCCGAAGAAGGGAGACCACTGTGGCCCTGGGACTGAGTCACCTACCCCAGAGGCCAGTTTGACAAATACAGGCTGTCTCTTCTCTGGCCTCCAAATCCTCGCTTCATCATTCTACAGTCAGCAGAGATCCTTGGACAAAAGGCAACCCCCATACAATGTAGGAGGCCGGGATTGAGGCTCCCATTGGTCCCATGTCGCCAGTGCTACCTAAGCCGGCCATCGGGCTTGACCGCACCCAGCTCTGATTTGGGGTCAGGGCTGAAGGAGCTCCAGGCTGTCTGGCTGCAGGTCTGCATGACTGGGCAGGCGGTGGGGCCCGTGGCACAGATGTCCATGGCAGTCCAAGTCCCACCCACTAGAGAGTCCAGCCAGGCTTCTAGCGCTGTCCCAGTGGAAGCTGCGTTCTTCCGGGCCTGCTCCACTTGGGCAGGATTGATGGGCAGGCTGAGAACGGGGTTCAGGCTCTGGAAACTCTGCTCCATGTAGGCACTGCGAGGCGGCCCATTGTGCAGCTTCAATGCCTCTTCTGAAAGCCAAAGGAAATGATGATGTATTTAGAAGAGTCGTCAACCAGGGGTCTACTTACTGTGAACCAGTGTGGCAAGGCACACTGGGCATCAGCTCACTGAACTCACTTGACAATCTCGTGTGTGCAGGGCACAGCACATTCACTTACTGACACACTTACGGTCCATCTTCAGTGGTGCAGACATTAACTGATTAGACAATACATTCTTTAAAGATTTGTTCCTTTTATTTATGTGTAGTGTGTGTGTGTGTGTGTGTGTGTGTGTAGGGCTGATTCTTCCAAGGCAAGTGCCTTTACCCACTGAGCCATCTCAATGGCTCCACACCTTATTATTATGTTCGAGACGGCTCTCTTACTCAATCTGTAGCTCATCTGTCCAGTTATGCTGTTTGGGGGTGAGCTCCAGGGGTCTATCTGCCTGCTCAGCACCCAGCACCGAGGTTTTTTATGTGGGTGCTGAGGATGCAATCTCGGACTGCCATGTTTGATGACAACTATGGCACAGTCTCAGCTACCTCCCCAGTTCCTCAACTCTTAATTTTCAGCATCTGCTTTGTACTAAACCTCTCTGACGTGAAAAGTGATGGTGACTTATTTCTTGGACACAGCTATGCTAAATGTAGCAACCAGCTTCCATGCTAGATGGTGGGAGGAACCAGATAACCAGGTTCAGAGTGGAGAGAGCTTCTCAATGATAAGGAGACGAGTGAGGGGGTAATGAAGGTTATTTCAAGCAGTGAGAAATGTCACAAAGGTGATAACAGGGAACTAGTCCAGCATGGCCTTCGGCCAAGTTCAGCTCACCCTCTGTTTTTGTACCGTTTCATCGGAACATGGCTCTGCTTGCTCACTGAGGTGTTCCTCACGACTGCTCTGCTGTGCTAGCGGATGTGTGTAGGTGAGACAGAGGCAGCATTCTCTCAGAGAAGCTGAACACATTCACATAATGTATCATTATGGAAACATTTACTATGCTCTGCCATAGAGAGTGGTCTGGGATGGGCAGGGACGACTTTTCTGGGGAGGTGACATAGGAAAGAAGTGTTGGTTGACATGTATAAGGCCAGCAGGGGAACAGCAAGTCTTCCAAACCACACAAGTCATGGTTGTTGGGGCCACAATATGAACTTAAGCATGTTGACCTTGAAGCCAAGGCATGGCTGCCACGTGACTGCTATGAACCCCGGAGAAGCTGTAGATTCTTGCTTCCTGGTAGTATATGGTCCAGAGCAAAGTGGTCCTTAGAGGCATGGATGGAAACATGCGGTGTGGGCCAGAGTGGGGTGGGGCATCCTCTTAACAGCTCTGACTTGTTCATCACCTCCTTGATGCCAGCCTTCCTGCCTGTGGGCTCTAGTTGGGCTGGATGACTTCAGTACTCAAATCCCACATCAAGGTGTGTGACTTCTGACTGTGTCTTAGTTTCCTCATTGATAAGATGGGCGGGGCGGGGGGGCATTGCTTCCCATGTAACTCTGGGGGTATTGCATTGGCTCATAAAGTTCTCTGGTGGTACTGATGGCAAGTTCTAAACTGTTATTGCTGCTTTTTATTACTTCATGATCCTCCCACTCAGAAAACGACAGGGCTGGTTTTATCTCATTCATTTTATAGATGAAGAAACAGATGCCACAGTCAGTTCAATCTGGAGTGGTTTGACTCTAAAGCTGTGCTGTCCACCATGATGCTCTATACAGATTGAACCACAAGCTCACAGCTAAGGCAGGGTTGCTACCCTTTCATCTTGGCACCAGTTTTTTGAAAGCTTGTGGTGCCCATATCACAAATATGGGCACTCAACCTGACAGCAGTTAGTTAACCCATAGGAGGCTTGATAACCAGTTCACAGTGTATGCTTTTAAAGCAAGGGACACACAAGAGGTCTCTTGAGTCTTCTAAGGGATAAAGGGAGGACAAAGAAATTGTAAGAATTTGGGGGTGAAGAAGACAAAATGTTTTTTATTTGAAGAGGTTCTTATTCTTGGTCAAATGAAACTTCAAAAAGTTAGGTTTTGGCCATAGCCAGGATACTGGAAAACAGAGTAGGTAGCACCAGCAGGATGTGCCAAGAGAACAGGGCTTTCTGTCTTTAGTTCATGTTCTAAACTTTGCGAGAGTCTCTCTGTGCTTCTACCCTGCAGAGATGGGAGCAGGTGATCAAGAGATGCCCAGGCTGACAAAAGGCAGGGCAATCCAAAGTAAAAGGAACAGCTAACAGACATTGAATATTGGGAGCAAAATACTGTGGTTGATGCAGGGGAAAAAAAAAAAAACACTTTATAAGAAATGAGGTTAATGTGGGAAGTGGCATCACAGCATCGGCTTGGATGCTTGGCTCCGTAATTAAATTTTCCTCAATTCCACCTCATCAGATTTCTTGAGATTACCAGGGATGCGACAATAGCAAATTACTCAAGATGAATCATTTCTCAAATTACATTACTCCCACCTCAGTGTTCCTTGTCTCGTTAACAAATACAATTACTGCCAATAGGGGAATTGCTTCTCTTGGGGTGAAACTGACCCCGGGGTCTTTCTGGGAATGGTGGGAACAGCTCCCAACTCCTTGGAAATCACAGAAGGAAAAAAAATGGAGAGACCAGGAGCACGAGAAGGGTCCTGGGCTCCTGTCTTGGGTAAGTGGACTCAGAGCCTCCTTTGTATCGTCCTACATCTGATCCCAAGGCAAAGAGGATGTGTGATTCTCACCTCTCTTCTTCACACTTAGCTTTTAGATCTTTAAGAATGCAAAGGGTGCCCCATCAATGGGCACTTGAAGACATTAGGTAGGTGGACTCTGCCTTGGCTAATTCAGGAGCGGAGCCCCAGGCTTCAGTCTCAGAGAACTACCAGGTGTCTAGATATTGGCTCGTTCGGCACAAAGACTTAGCAGAAGCTGTCAGAATTCATGCCAAGATCGTATTTTCAGGATTTCAGGCACCCATCCCACATCTCTGTCTTCCCGGCCCTGGTTGCCAGTGTATCGCTCCGTTCCTGCCAAGAATGCTTCCCACTTAGCAGGACTGTCATGTGTATCTAGCGGACTTGTGTTGAGTAACATGCAGAGGGACGGTCCAGATATTGATCCCTCTCTGAATCTCAGGAAGTTCACGAGGAAAACTCTGTGTGTGCTGGCCATGCCCACATTGGTCCCCTTGTCATCATCCCTTAAGTGACATGCCACAGAGGTGTGTAAACATCCAGATTGTATTAGGCATTAAGAGACATCTAGCGATGGTCTACTGTAAGCGGGAGAAAGTGCACAGGTTATGCACAAATACTATGCCATTTTCTACAAAGGGCTAGTACATTTCTAGTTTTTTTTATAATCAAGGAAGTAACTGGAACCAGTTCTTTATAGACACTGAGGGGTGTCTGTACTGGGAGACTCAGAAATCCTGTTTCTATGAGTCTTTCTTATGAGCCTGGGCACATATAATTTCATGTTCCAGAATCTTCCTTGTAGCACTTTCTGCAGCAACAAAGTCATCATCAGGCAATAGAAGTTACTGTGTCCAGGAAGGAACAGCCTGTGGTTCTTCATTGTGGAATCCCTGTGGCTGTCAACTTGCACACACTGACCGAGGTTTGGTACAGAATATACCATGGCATTCTAACCATGTTTCCTGTGCTTTAGGACATAGGCTTGTGCCTGTAATTTAAAACACTGTCAAGATGTTAGAAAGATGTGCTCCAACAGTCCACAGTGGTCACATCCATGGTGGTCACATCCAGAGGGTAAGAATTTAGCCAAAACAAACAAACAAACAAACAAAACAAAACTTTCCAAAGTCTTACTGACAAAAGAAGGTGGAGGAAAAATAGAAATACAAATGTAAACCCTTTGCCCTGAATAGCCACAAGTGGACCATTAGGGGGTTGGTGTCCCTTTCTCTCTCCTCCATACACATTGGGAAGCAATGGCCAGAGGCGTACGTTAGTAATCTTTCTTTCTGTTTTAGCTTCCTGCTCAGACACGAATCCTGAAAAATTAATGTATCGTTTCCTTTCCTGGTTTTGAAGCTTAAGGAAAGTCATCCTAAGTATGGCTTATTCTGTGATCAGCTCTCCTTGTCCGGCATGCTTTATGGCTGCATGTAGCTAGCCTTTCCTGCTATCTCCACAACATGGGATGCTACTGTGGAAGCGGACCACAACTGTTCTTATGTGTGGGGAACTTGTCTTGTGTTACTGTGAACAACTCTGCTATGATTCCTTTGTCTCTGCCCGTGTGATAGGTTGTGTATGTTCAACACAAGGAGAAGGGGGTCACCCATCCCACAAACTTACCCTACACATTCATCTCCCAGGAGCCCTGGATATGCTCCTGCATCTCTGACCCGCCCTAGGACACTGCCCAACCATCACAGGCACACAGGTATTTCCCACTCTGGAGCTTCTTTTTGCCTATAATTTCCATTACTATCTCTTATCATTAACAAAGGTAAGGTTTTTTAAATTATACATATGTGCAGAATTCATACTTTCTTTGTTTCTCCCTTTTATAGTTGCCAAGGACAGTCACCATCTTCAGAGCCTTTCAAGCCACATTATCTCCCTCTCAACTGTTGGAGTCTGTCACCAAAGCCCTAAGGCAGACACATAGGTACCATATTTGACTGGGGCTCATAGTCTGCCAAACTCTTGTTTATGTTTTTTGTTTGAGTATATTTTGGGGAACAAATATCTACCACCAGTGTGTGGTTTCTCCTTTTTACTTAGGGCCTTACATTTTTTTATGAGAAGAATTCCAGCAGTAAATATTATTTTCTTTTCTTTCTTTCTTTCTTTCTTTTTTTTTTTTTTTTGATTTTTCGAGACAGGGTTTCTCCGTAGCTGTTTGGTTCCTGTCCTGGAACTAGCTCCTCTAGATCAGGCTGGCATCGAACTCACAGAGATCCGCCTGCCTCTGCCTCCCGAGTACTGGGATTAAAGGCGTGTGCCAACAGCCAAGAAGCCATGCTAAAACTCAGTGTGTGTCTAGGATTAGTCCCCATCTTGTCTTAAACATGAGCAATGCCTTGTGGAAGACCAGAGGGCTCCCAGCTGAGAAATACCCACACAGATGGCATTGTCTCTGTGAACAGAGAGGAAATGAGCCCATACTATAGGGTAAAAAAAGTAAGAAAAAACATCCCCAATGTGGATACAAGGCAGCCTCACGTTCCATGTTGGGGACACACTCATCCGCAAAGACCCCGAGAGTACTCACCTGGTTTGATGGGCTGCTTGTTGGAGAACGTCAGAGGCGCGACAAGGAATTTGGTCTCTGCAACTGGCACCCAGTGATGGAGAATTTTTACTGTCCAGACCCCAGGCCTCAGAGGCAGATTCAAAGGGGGTTTGTAGTGTGTGAATTCCGCAGTGGACTCGATCAGGATATCATAGGTGGCTGCGATGACGTTGACAGGGTCCACCCAAATAACAGTCACAGTCACATTGGGCCCCTTCCCCCATTTCTGCATCCCCACGGGCTCATCCATGGGACCCAAAAGACCACCGAAGTTCCGGAACAGCCTTTCCTTGGCATCCCAATCAGTGCCAACCTGAAACAGGAGAACACATTCTGAAACTACTGGGTCCCAGGAAGGTCCATGGTTGCATGTACCCATTTCACTGATGAGGAGACTGAAGGTCCAAGTCTTTAGGGACTCAAGGTTACACAGTTGATAAGCAGAACTCATAGGACTTCTGCTCAGACTGGGACTCTAAAGCCTACAAATCTTTCTTTAATCTGGCATTCTCTGTGCCTAAACCGTGCTGTGTGCTTTGACTCAAACTCCAAACCCATGAATTAAATGCAAGTTCAAATAAACACTATCATGCATACCATTCCAAGTAATAGCCTGCCATTCCGCTGGTGAGCCTGGGCTCCTCTTGGGCCTCTGATTCTACAAGTGGCACACCTGCATTTGGTGTGCTCTTTATGCATGAGGATGGAGATCTGGCTTTGGAGTAACCCACCAAGAAGCTTGGAAACAGGGTGCAACCTGTATCACTGCAGGATGGAGAACTGGCTTTGGCTTCTCCAGAGCATTCTTCTCTGGACCCCAGAGAGGGGACATGCCTTATATCCAGCTAGATGGTTGCAGGGCAAGCCTCTTGGCTTTCCTCCCTCCACTCTGCCACCTTTAAGCTACTCTGCATTCAAGAAGCAGGGAGCTGCCATGTGCTGCTTCACTACTCAGGTCTGAGCTAACCCCTCACCGTGGTCCCCAGGCATTCCTATCATCCACCACCATCTACCAACTCTGTTCCATATGGCGCTTCTTCTAGCCCTTTTAACCTACCAAGCCACCCTCTCCCCTTCTCTGAATGGAATGTCCTACTGCCTCATACCTGTGCACAGCCCTTATCTGAGAGGTCTCCTTAGGGTCCCCTGAACACTTTAACACATCACTTCTCCCTGCTGTAATGTCTGTGAGAAGAAAGCCTGCTCTGTGTGGATCTCAACTCCTCTACTGTTCCCCCAACAGGGCCAATCAAAGCAATGTTTCCTAATAAGCAAATAAATTGCTTGACAAAAAAGTGAATTAGCCATGTAGAACCTTAATACTGAGCTATGATGATGACTTAGATCAGATTAAAAGAGGTGTCTTTTTTACTAACAAAAAGAGGATTCTCCCAAATAGGAGTAACATTGTAATACTGAAGTAACTGCACATAGGTAAAACAGCTCACACACAATCACTCACTCTCTCTCTCTCTCTCTCTCTCTCTCTCTCTCTCTCTCTCTCTCTCTCTCTCTCTCTCTCTCATGGGTGCATGTGTTCATGTGTGCAGTTTGAGATGAAGGTGTGGCTATATAAGTCCACTGGAGAAGTTTCTGTACATGCACAGCAAACAGTAGCTGAATTTCTTTCTCTGTGCTCTTGCCTGGAATTACTAAGCCCATTCTTCACTTAGGACACACAGTTCTACAGTTAACACTGAAGGCTTGCATTGGCCAGGCATGAGGTAAGCATCTGCAAATACCTGCTCATGTAATAGTCTCCTCTGTGAGAATAACATCTCATTGTGCAGGTGAAACTGAGGCTCAGAGACAATGAATAACTTGCTGTTGGAGTCCAAGAAGTCTATCAGTAATGGATCATCTATTTGTATGTCCATCCATCCACCCGTCCGTCTGTCCATCCATCCATTCATCCATCCAAATGTCCATACGTCTACCTATCCATCCATCTCCTTTCAATATGCACTACCTATTAATTATTTATTTTACAGTATATATGGCCCATGGAACAATATCTCATTTATATATTATTCTGTATATCATCAACCAAGAAATCCATCCATCCATCCATCCATCCATCCATCCATCCATCCATCCATCCATCGATCCATCATGTCTAAGTATCTGTGTACTACTCTGTCATTCACTGGTCATTCTATCGGTCTGCATATCCATCCATCCATCCATCCATCCATCCATCCATCCACCCACCCACCCACCCACCCACCTACCTACCTACCTACCTACCTACCTACCTACCTACCTATACCTAGCTACCTACCTACCTACCTACCTATACCTAGCTACCTACCTCAAACTTGAATACATACTTAATGATAAGGGTTGAGCAGGTGGACTTCTCTATTAACCTATAATCAGGGCAGCCACTCTTGTAACACTACTAACAGAAAGAAGAATAGTCCCAAAGCTATGCAAGGGCCATGCAGAATGAATTCGTAACTGCTCAGGGAATTCTTTAGCGCACTGCTCTTGCATTTTCTAAAGGAGTGGAGGTGGACAGTTACCTTGGCATCTGTGTTCTCAAACAGAGTCACTTCAGCTGGAGAGTGTGGAGCAGCTCGCAAAAAAAAAAAAAAAAAAAAATGGGATCTTGTCTTAAACTGAGGAGCACGAAGAATGCTACATGCCCCCTTCCCAGAGTGTGAGGAGAGGGAGTCACCCTGTCATGCAGTCCCGTTTTTGTCACATCTGTTATGTCTGCTATTTCCACTTTGCCATAGTGTGGAAGTCTACAATCATTCACTGCAAAATGGGCTCTTGCTTATGTTTAATAAATGTTCAAGTTCAAGCCTACCATAGTGCTTCCTAGCTCCTAACCCCTTTACCTTCGTCTCTCCATCTCATTCACACTGGCCTTGCTTCTTCTTCAGCATGCCAAACCCCTGCCCAGAATCACAGGACATCTTCCTGTGCTCTGTTATCTACGCAGAATGTTCTAGATCTTCCCATGGATGAAATAGCTCTTCCACAAGATTTAGCTTGAATCTGATCTATTTTCCAAAGCCTCCCAAAGGACATCCTATCAGTGATTGCCTCCACCAGCCTCCTGAGCCTGAGCAACCATGTGAGCAGATTTCCTTTCATTCTGACATACTTGCCATGAGATGAACTAATTTCTCCTTCACCCACTACTTGTCTGCCTGCCCCAGCAGAATTCGGTTCCATCCATTGTGATGGAACACTTTGTCTGGTTCACTGCTGTCTCTCATGAATCAAGTATATTGTAGGTCGTTGGTGAGCACCCTTTTCTCCAATCAATGGCAAGGACCATCATGCTAGGGAAATTTATCTAAGTTGACCATCTGCCTCTATATAAGATCCTGAGACCATGCTAATATCAATATCAAGGGTGACCTTACAGAGCTTATAAATGGCCTGTTTTAGATCTTCCTTCCTTCTCGTTTAACCCTGTACCTTAGTCATTAAATAAGTATCACTAGAAAAGTTCTACATATAACGTTAGGGCCTCTGCCTTCTGTGCCTGCAGTTTTAATGGTAGAATTGGTTGTCCTCTCACCAGGGCTGCAGGATACATTGTGAGAACACTCACAAATTACTAGCCATGTGATGGCCAACAATCTCTTGTCATTGCCAGAAGTACACAGTGACCCAACAGCAGTCTGATAAACAGGGAAAGCCTGGCCACCAGGCATTCATCTCTTTAATGGGACATTAATGTCTTCAATGGGCTGCTTGGGACCCCAGAGCAGAGTCCAGCTGGTGCAGCATCTAATTGCCCTGCTGACTCCTGTAATTTATGGAGCTGGCTGCCACAGCATCTCAGAGTCAGTCAGTCCCCATAGAACCTTCTTTAAAAACACGAGTTTACAAGAAACTCCTCCTTGCTTGTTTGACAGCGAATCTATTCAGTCATGGAGCAAAGCAAAGAGACAGGCCCACAGTGAGTGGAGAAGGACCAGCCAGGAAACACAGCAGGTGAGATCGCTCCCCTCATGCTCCCAGCCCCTCAAGTCTCTGCATATCAAAAGCCACTCTTCAACCTTAACCTGGCACTCAAACTCATTTGTGAGGGTCATGAAGCTCCATCATACTTCCTCTTCCTTCCAGCATTTCCTAGCCCCAGGGACAGACACATTCATTCAACAATATCCAGCATTCCAGCTTTCTGGTGTACAATCAAGATACGTTCATAAATCAGCAAGATAACATTTATAAGGTAAATTCTAAAAGAGGCAATTAAAGATGTAGCCAGTGTATAATGCTGTTATTGTGACATAAGGCGGGGGTAGTCAGGGAAGGAGTCTCTGAAGGTGCCTCTTTGGATTTAGAGCAGAATGACTAAAAAAAAAAAAGATGAAAATATAGGACAACCTGGGAGAAAGCACTGTAGGTAAAGGGAGATGACAAGTTCAAGTCAGGAATAAGGACATCTGGTTTGACAAAGATGCAGGAACTATGAGCAAGAAATGGTACAGTATTGGGCAAGAGTGGAGAGGCAAACACTAGCCAGATCATGTGGGGCCTTCTGGACCTGGAGGTAGGGATGATGTGATAAGCATCTACCAGGAAGCCATCTCCCAAGCCCAAAACATTCCCAAAAGCTGATGTTATTTGAGTAGAGGAGAGTGACGTTTTATGGATCCATACATCTGCAGTTAGCCTACTTATTCGTCTCTGGACATTTCTGTTCCCCAATCTATCCACCCACTCATCCATTATCTATCCATTCTTCTGTCTAATCCATCCATCCATCCATCCATCCATCCATCCATCCATCCATCCTGTTGCCTACAAGTACATTCATTTACATGTCTGTACATTTGTCATCTATCTGTTCATCTATGCATCTGTCTGTCCATCCATGTACCCATCACCCATCATCCTATTGCCTACACTTCCATCATTTATCTGTCTGTCCATCTGTCACCCATCAACCCATCTGTCCATTTATATGGCCACCTATACTCCCATGCTTCAGTCCTCCATCCATTTGTTTGGCAGTCTGCCTAATTACCAACCAGCTTCATCTATCTATCTATCTATCTATCTATCTATCTATCTATCTATCTATCTATCTATCTATCTATCCAGCCAATTACATGGCCACCAGCCCACCTACTCCTAAAGTATAGGAGCTAGCCCCTGTGTTAGTAATAAGGGGAACAATATAAAATGAGGCATGAGATTTGTGGCCAGCGAGATGTGGAATCAATTTTGTGATTTTCCCATGTCTTAGCAGTTATTTAGAAAACAGTTGGAAGTCCATAAGCCCCACCCAATCCATAAAATGGTACTAATGCCATGACTTTATGAGAATGCTGCCTTGTTGCTGACTCATTACTAAAACAGACTTAGAAGAAATCAATTGATGGGATGCAAAATTAAGGTAAGAAAATCTGCCCTAAAACAACAGACCATGCTTCTTGGCTGATTCGGTTCAAAGACACTGACATTCCATTATACCTCTCTGTTTGCACTGTTTATGATATATACTGTTCCAGTATATGCGACTGGGAAATTGTCTCCAGGAGCAGAATAAGCTCATCTTTAGGGCTCTACAAACACCCTCTTTCTCTGTTTTCAACTCTAAGTGTCAGATGAGGCACAGAGCCTGGCAAGAGAGCTTCAGCAGACAATTAAGACTGACACTGTCTGGCCTCTTACCTCAGAAAACTGAAGCCTCCCAAAATCACTGGGGGGACTTGCGATCTTGAAGACTTTCTTCGGCATCATCCACGTCTCCAGTGTCTCCAGTTTGCTCACAGCAAGGTTAGTCACGTGGTGCTTGATCAGAAAGCCCTGGAAACGGTCGGCAAGGAAGTAGAGATGGACAGATGCTGGGTGGCCCATTGGGTAGTACCTAAAAACACGGGACAAGGGTATGAGGTGTGCAGTGTCACCATGCGGTTCCCCACACTTCACAGTGGTCTAGCTCCTCAAATAGACCCTATTTAGCTAACACTTACCATAGTCTACATCAGTCTGAAAGCTGCTGTCTCTGAATCTAGGGTCTAAGCAGTTGCAAATAACTTCTATTTTAACCAAGATATAAATGTAAAACATGCTGACTGTAGGAAAGTACAATAAAGAAATCGCTGCTTTGATACCTCTTCCCATAAATAACACCAATTCACAGAGATCTATTGAGTGCTGGGTACCTGAACACTTCTGTTGCTGCCTCTTTCTGCAGCCTCATTTTCTATGCAGGTATCTGCAGACATGGTGCCTAGTTAGGGCCAGTGAGCCCCATACACCTCCCCAGTGCTGGGATAACAGAGCACCTGCCACTATGTCTGGCTTTTAAAATGCAGGTTCTGGAAAACGGAACTTTCATGTTCACACTCACAGGGCAAGCACTTTACTGACAGCCATCTCCCCAACCCCATAACTATTATACAGCTGGGATCATAACATATATGCTATGCTTTTGCTCTGTTGGACTTCCTGGGAACTCTCCTCTCTGATAATAAGATTGTGTGTGTCTGTGTATAATACGTGTCATGCAACACGGTATTTTACAGAACCAGTGATCTACTGATGGATAATGACAGATTGTAAAATATTTGTTATTCCTTTGGAATTCACATTCATTCACTCCCTCACATACGCACCTCTAAAACTCTTTTCATCTGGTACCCAAGCTTGTCAGAAACACTGATTTATCTTCTTGTTGCCTTCCTTAAGTGGGTGTTGATGAACCCACACTGTTTTTTTCCTTTTCTAAAAATTGCTGCCAATATACATTTGCAAACACCCAGCCTTCCATAGTAAGATTATTTTAAATTGCATGCCCTTGGTCTGCACAGTTTTGCTGGCTAGATAGGGCTGGAAAGCTTAGCAAAGAGGAGAAAGCGGGGAGCAGAAAGCAGAAGGGAAGAGGGAGCCCTGGAGACCAGCAACTCTCCACTTGCAAAATAAAAAGCTGCCACTTCTGCAGCGTGTAAATTGCACAGCGACAAGAGGCCACTGTGGCTCCCTAATAACAGCGTTCCACAAATCACTGTCCCTTCTCTGCTAAGCGCAAACTTCCCTCTACTTCGGATCTGGAGTTTTAAGTCTTTATGTTCAATTAGAATGGCTGGGAAGCCTCCTTCCTATGTTGACACGTCTCTCGAAATCACTGCCTTGTTACTGGGATGCCTCTGGGGCTCTGCAGAAAGAACTTGCCTCATCTTCAGACTGCTGGGTCTTCACGGATCGTGCCGCCACTTTAGATGTGATCATGGCGGGCGGGTGGGATGCCTTGGACACTGTGCTGTTGCAGTGTCTGGCAGTGTCCGGCAGTGCTTTCTCACGGAGATGTTAGGTGCCTGTGCTGCCCAACACAGTAGCCACCAGTAACTGCTGAGCACTTAAAACGTGGGCACAATTTTTAATGTTAGTTCATTTATTATTGTTTAATTTGTGTGCATGCGTGAATGTGTGTGTATGTGTAGGCCAGAGGAGATATACAGTGTTTTCCTCTATAACTCCCCAACTTATTTTTTGAGACAGGGTCTCTCCCTGAATCCAGAGCTCACCAATTAGCTAGATTAGCTGGCCAGTGAAGCCCAGGGATCTTTCTGTCTGCCTCCTAGAGCTAGGACTAAGGGTTCACTCTGGCTTTTGGCTTGGCTTTTTATGTGGGTGCCTAGTTCATGCTGCCATGTCTGGCTTTTTATGTAGGTTCTGGAGATCTGAACTCAAGTCTTCACCCTTGACTAGCAAGCATTTTCCTCATCTTCTCAGCCTTCTTACTATTATTATTTTTTCTTTTCAGACAGTGCCTCATGCATCCCAGGTAGGCATCTAACATAGATGAACATGGCCTTGAATTCCTGGTTTTCTTTTCTCCACTTCCAAACACTGGGGTTACAGATGTGGGTCACCATGTTTGGCTTAATTTTAGTGAGTTTAAATGAAAGTGATCACGTGTGGTACTTGCACTCCGGCTCCAATATCTGGAGCACATTACAGCTTTGTCTGCACGGGCGTGTAGGGTCCATTTCCCACCTCCTGGCTCATCTTTAGCCAATAGCAAGTGTAGAGATGCCATGGCTGGTCTGATCCAGGCCTTGCCACCCATGCATCCACCTTCCTGACTTCTTGGGGGTCACCATGAGAGCATGTTTAGGCTAGCCTGTGGGAAGATGAGTCATTGGTGACAGATGGGAGCCACCAAAGTTGTCGAGCCCGTGTCATTGTGGTTCAGTTAACAGTTTCCAGTCAAGAGCTGCAGAACCACCCTCTCTGCCCTGCAGGTGGCTGCAGATGCAGAAGAGAGGCAGGTTCAGACTGGAAGGAAGATGGGCTCGCTGATTCGCGAGTGAGCATGAAGGAAATGATGACCAGTTCCCAGCCCTGCTCTCTTTGTGACAAGGTACTGTCCCAGCAGCCCACAGTTAATGCACTGTTGGCGCTTCTTTTGTGAGGTGGGTGTGGCTACAGACAGAGGAGTGCTGGCTGCCTGGGAGTGAAAGGAGAAAAAGGGAGAAAGTAGTTCAAGAAAGGAGCAGTCAGTCATACTGAGTGTTGCTGAATGTCAAGAACACGAGCGAAGGCCGAGTATTGGAGTAATCTGTTGCTTTATTGCTTGCCTTTCCTTCCTTTTCTCTGTCTCTGTCTCTGTCTCTGTTTCTCTCTCTCTCTCTCTCTCTCTCTCTCTCTCTCTGTGTATTTTTGCATGAGTGTGTACATGTAAGGCTGTTGGTGAGTGTGTGTGTAGAACGCCTGTGAAGGCCAGAGGACAGCGTTAGGTATCAGTTTGGGATGAGGTCTCTTATTGGCCTGGAACTTTGTCACTTAGGCTAGGCTAGTGGGCCTGTGAGGCTCCAGGCTCCATCTGTCTCCTGCTCCCTCTCATCATTGCCGGGTTATAGACAGGTGTTATAGGGCCCGTTTTTTCATATGTGTGCTGGAGATCCAAATGTCTTCATGCTTGTGAGACAAGTGCTTTCCCCCGTTAAGCCATCTCCACCAAGGGTTCCTGTTGTCTGGCTCCAACTCCTACTCTACAGAGCACTGCCAGAGGCTGGCCCAAGTCTTCCTAAGGCCTCCACAGGGGCGCTGTAGGAATCACTGTCGTCACACTGGCTGTTCTTTATGAGCCACAAGCACTGTGCTCACTGCTTGCAGCTGAACTCAAATCACTAACTTTGAGTACAAGGCTCTCTCCACTTGTTTTTGTTCCCCTCTGCCCAAGCTGACCATGGGTACTTTACTTTGGGCTCCTGGGTGTGCTGAGCTCATTTGTGCCTCAGGACCTTTGCATAGGACATTCTCTCTGCTGGGGATGCTCCTCTCCTCTTGTGAGTGTATGGTGAGCTGTGCTTTGCTTTATTGCTCAACGAGAACTAGCTCAGAACTCAGCAGAACATCAGTTCTTGCTGATAGTCTTGAACTGTGTGTGTGTGTGTGTGTGTGTGTGTGTGTGCGCACGCACTTAGGAACTGGGCATCTTTACACTAGAAGGTGAAGATCATGACCTTGAGGTCAGGTCTGTCTGGGTTAGCAGTGAATACTCAATGCCCAACAAAGAGCCTGGTGCACAGTGGGTGTTCAAGCAATGCTTGCTGAGTGATTGAATATCTAGGTTTCCCTGTAGCTGTGTGCTTGCTTCCTAAGTACATCTGAGGACCATGCCGCCTGAGATGTAACACAAAGCCCTCTGCATCTTATTTTCACATTACTCCATCCCTAGGTAATGGCAACAGCAACTTCACTAGGGAAAGGGAAAGCGCCAAGAGGCAGTAAGATAATTTATAGAATGCAGTGGGAACATTTGTCTCACTCCGTATTTACATAAGGTGAGCGTGAGAAAAAAAAAAAAAACAAAGCAACATACAACGTTTGGATTTCTGAATGCCTTGAAAGAGCCGGTGATTTGGTAGTCAACTTCAAGTTGAGAGTCTGACCGGATTGGGCTGGAGTTGAACCAAGTAGTACCAGTGGTCTAGGCTGGTCTGCACAGTTATCTCCTGCAGCGCTTGTACTGACTTGTAGCTGCATGGAGCTCAGGTGGTCTAGACTGGTGTGCACCATGCTCCTTGTAGGGCTCATGCTGACTCACATGTTCATGGGGCTCTGGTCTAGGTTGGTGTGCACAGCTCCCCCTTCAGAGCTCATGCTGACTTGCAAGTTCACTTAACTTAAGAGGTCTAGGTTGGCGTGCACAGCACCCCCTGTGGGGCTCACGCTGATTCACAAGTACTATTATATTACTGGCATCTGAGTTGGGGTTTTGCAGGAACATATTGGCATCTCAATCCCTGCATGGTGGATCGGAAGTGGCCTCTATTTCCTTGTTCTCGTATGTTTGAATCTGCTCTATCAAACATTTCTGCAGAGCACATGCATTACTTTATAATGAGAAAATGAATCAATACGCAGTGTTTTATGAAAGGTTGTAGCACAGCCTGGAAGTGCACAGCGTGCATGAAACGCCCAGATCAGATGAAAGGCACTTGCTGTTTCCCTAGATGCCCCACGGGTAGCAATCCGTTCTCCTTTGCCTTTTTGGGATAAGGGTCTTTTGTCCTGATTTATTCCCAGCCTCCGATTCATAAATACAAGGCTTTGCCCACGGCAAGGCACAATAGCTCCATCACAATAAAAAATGAAGGAGAAAAGCCAAAGGATTCTGGGCCCGAGGCAACTGGATGGCTTGCTTCATTCCAAAGCAAGTACCAGGAGAAAGTTTCAACAACCCTAAATAAATCGGGAGTGTCTTCTGGAATTTCCTCTAAGATCGTTTATCTTATAGGTCCTAGGATGCTCATGATTAAGATGGTCTGGGAGGACAGTTGCCTCCCAGGTTTGGGGTGCAATGCTGTATACTGGGCAGACAGTCTGTGGTTCCAAGGTTTACACTCTCCCACAGTCTTACCAGGGGGAAAAGACACTCACTGACATTGATACTGGGTTGGTGCAGCCACATGGGATGGATCTGTTGGAGGTGATGTCCCTTGGCTTGCGGGAGGTTAGAAGTGGGAGTATCAGTAGCCCTTTAACCCCAGAGAGGGATTGGGAGATAGCTCGGTTGGTAAAAGTGCTTGCCATGCTAGCGTGAAGACCCGAGTTCAGATCCTTAGTACTCACATAAGAAGGCAGAACTGTGCCAGGCCGTGGTGGCGCACGCCTTTAATCCCAGCACTCGGGAGGCAGAGGCAGAGGCAGGCGGATCTCTGGGAGTTCGAGGCCAGCCTGGGCTACAAGAGGTAGTTCCAGGAAAGGAACCAAAAAGCTACGGAGAAACCCTGTCTCGAAAAATCCAAAAAAAAAAAAAAAAAAAAAAAAAAAAGAAGGCAGAACTGTGGCATGTGCCTGTACCGCCAGCACTGGGGATGTAGAGACAGGAGGACCCCTGGGGTTTTCTGGCCAGTCTTACTGAATCAGTGAGCACCAAGTTCAATGAGAAACCCAACACACACACACATGCACACACAGTGGGCTGCAAAGGTGGCTCAGCAGTAAGGGCTTACCATACTCTTGTAGATGATGCTAGCTCAGCTCCCAGTGCCCAGAATGGGAAGCTCAAAACAACTTAAAACTTTAACTCTAGGACGCCCAATGCCTTCTTCTGCCCCCCATGGCCACCCATACTCCCATGCACATGCCCCATACCCACACAGGGGCACAAGTTTAAAAAGAAATGTGGGAAAAATGAGGGGAAGAGCGAGAGGAGAGCGCACCTGACATTGGTCTCTGGCCCCATGAACATGGACGCACGCACGCACACACCAGAACACATATAAGCGTCCAGGGCAGGACTGGATGGCCTTAATGACCGGGAAGGGTAAACTATGCAATGATAGTGGACACACTAAATAAAGAGCCACAATGAAACAGCAATGAGAGGGGCGGCTTGCCGACACTATCTTAACCAGAACACTCACTTCTGGCCATTGTGATGGCTTAATAGGGCCACTAGGGCATCAAAATCACGTGAAAGCTACTGAACACCTCAGCGTGTAAAATGCTATTAAAACCAGGACCGTGATTCACTCATGAGGTGGCTCTTGGGTGCTTTCTTTTTATCTCACGTATGAAGAAACGGAGGGTCCAAGGGGTTCACACCTTGCCCGAGGTCAGATACAGTGGTGCACACCTGTGATCTCAGACGTGGTGGCTGAGGCAGGAGGGTCCCAGTGAGCTTAAGGCCAGCCCAGGTGACACAGCGAGGTATTGTTTGCAAAAGAGAGAAACCAAGGAAGACAGTCTGATGGGAAGGAGAGGAGGAAGAAAGGGAGGAAGAGAGGGAGAATGTGATCAGGGTCGGTATTACTGCTTGTGTCCCGGGAATAAGAGGAGGCTAAGAAGCAGAGCGTTAGCACAGCGTGGAGGGACTCGCGTGGTGGGCACGGGGAGTAGGCAGTGGAGAAGCATGGCATTAGCATCTTGCTCTGCCAGCGACCCAGCTCAGCACCTGGCTCACCTGCAGCTGTTCTCGCCGTCCGTGTGCAGGGACGACTCGGCTCTTCTCAGCCCCAGGCGGATGAAGGAATGGTAGAGGGTGAGTGCCACATCGCTGAGGCTGTGGATACCGTCCGGCTCGTCATAGACGTTCTCCCAGTAGGAGCGGAGGCCCGGGGTGCCCGCAGGATAGTTGCCGTACAGGTAAGAGTCCAGCTGCCCAATGATTTCCTGGTTCACTATGGCTTCGAACTTTCGGGCAAAGAAGGTGGGCCGGGCTGTCTGCTGTGCTCAGGAGAGATACACGACAAGTTGATCATCAAGCAATGTGTGTGTGTGTGTGTGTGTGTGTGTGTGTATGTGGAGGGATGTCATTATCCTACATCCTGCAAGGAGAGGAAGACACAGCAGTAACCCTGCAGGTTCAAACGCCAGCCCTGGGACTTCATGACCTTTCAATATTCTCCTCTATAAAATGGGTCAGAATGAGAGGGGGACCGTGTTAAAACCTGTAAGACATCAAAGCATGGTGGGCACTTAGGAATCACCACCCAAATGTCCCTGAAATAAATTGAATTGTGGGTAGTCAGAGCTAGATTGGTTTTCAGTGAAGGTTATAGACAAGCAATTTTAGTTGACTGGGAGAACACCTAACATCAGATTCACTGGCAATATTTACCAAGTGGAAGGTTCACGGGAACAATTTCTGGCTTCCTTCCAAATAGCAACTGTTGAGGGAAACCCTTGTCACACCCTGAAGCGGGAATGGTGGGTAAACTGGATTGGCAGCTCATCCCTTTAGGTAAGACATGGGCTCTTCTTCCTGCCATTGTCCCCACTGTTCTTCAGAGTCCCTTGGCATCTTAGCTGATTAACAGACTCACCAGGAACACTCCATGGATGGCACTTCACATACTCCAGGATCTGGGGTCATGGCGCTCTGACAGGAAAACCCAGTCACTCATACGGGGGACTCTACACTGTCTATGGCCCTTCCTTTCTTTTAATCTAAAATTATCCTTTGTCTCAGTTAACCTTGAATTTTGGGGCCATAGATCTGCTAGATAAACATTTATAATGGAAACAAAAACTTCCTTTCAACCAGCAGCTGCTTTCTTAGAGCCAATGAGACTACATACTATCTCTCTCAGGCTAATATTTGGCCAGACCATGGTCTGAGCAAGACTTTCAGCCAGGCAAACCCACAGCCCTTACCTTCTTCTCTACTCTGTCAGCAAGTCTGGTGACTTTCAGAAATTTAAATATCCCCAAAGCTTCCCATGTATTATGAAGCTTCCATGTAAACTGCAAACTTATAGAAATGGGTCCAGAGGCAGAAAGAGATTTATTCACAGATGTACAGCAACACAGTGGATGAAGATCTAGGGTTCAAAGACATTACATGCTGACTGGGAGAGATAGCTCGGTTAGTAAAATGTCTGCATGAGGGCTTGAGTTGGATTTCTGGACCCATGTAGAAATACCGGCCATGGTCATGTGTGTCTATAATCCCAGGACTGGAGAGGAAGAGATGGGCAAATCTTTGGGCTTTAATCAGGGAATTCTGGTTTCAGTGAGAGACCCTGCTTCATGGACAGTATTGTAAAAATACTTCCTCTTGGGGGACTTAAGCATCTAGTCCCTCTTCATAAGACATCAGTGACAAACCAACAACCACCCTGGGGAACCAAGGAGTCTATTAGGCTTACTTATAGATCATGGGTGAAGGGTTATAGGCAGGAGCATGGGGGACCCTAAAGCACCTGGAAGGTCGGCACCCAGCAGAGATGATGGCTTCAGAGCTACACAGATGGATCCTTTCCATGTTAAACTTCCCCAGCCTGTATTCTCTCTCCCTGAGAACCCCCCCCCCCCCGGGCCATATGCAGTTAGACAGCCTGCTAGATACTCAGGTGAGAGTGCAATAACTGTGCTGACCCCTCCTATGCAGGAATGGCCCCAGTCTACAGACCACCTCCTATGCAGGAATAGCCATAGTCTACGGACCACCCTCCAATGCAGAAATGGCCACAGTCCAAGGCCACATCATGATGGACTTTTGCATCAGACATAATTGATCTCATGAAGATGGAGGCAGTTTGGTCTTGGATGAGTGAGTTCTACAACAGTGTCCAGAGGAACAAAGACTGAAGCTGTTTTCTACACACACACACACACACACACACACACACACACACACATGTGCAAGCAAGCAGCAAGCACACTCATGCATGTGTGTGTGCACATAAAGAGAAAAAAACCAAGCACCTGCCATCTGTAAGTATTATACTACTTCTAAGGCAGGGCTTCACAGACATCTTCACCAGAGGGACAAACAGTAGGTGCATAAAGCACTGAATTCTCCAGTCTGAAGCATGGAAACACCCAACTACAAAATGGCAGGTGAGTGGTGGTAGCTGTGTTCCAACGAAACTTTATTATATGAGTAGGCTGGGCTGACTCTGGCCAGGGAGTTGCAGTGTGCCCAGGACTGTACAGAGAGTTAAATACAGCCCTGTCCCTTGAGGAGTTCACGAGCATGAATGCGCCCTTCAGAGGACTAATAGCTGCAATAATGACACCGATAACTTAGAATATTGTAGGAAGGGCAACGCAAATCTCATCACCTAAGCCTCTGATAACTCAGCCAGGCAGGGTCATAACTCCCATTCTACAGATGAGGACATACATCTCAGAGTGGGAACCAATACTCAGGAAATGACCCAACACTTGCACCAAATCCCACAGCTCCAAATCCTAGGTTCCTTTTTTTTTTTTTTTTTTTTGTTAAAAAAAATCACA